GTGGTTTCTAAAAATACGAGAAAGGAGTCGACATAGAGGAAAAAATATAATTAGGGCCGCGGATGACATTTGAAAGAGGCTTTTGATTAATGGTTATTGCAGCAAATACGTCAATTAAGCACACGAAAACACAATTCGGACGATTTATTTAGTGTCATATTAGTAATAAGTTCGTAGTGGAGGTTATGATGTAAAATTTTCAGAATTTTAACTTTCATACCCGATCGATCGAGTTAACCCTTGAGAATATAAACACAACTTAACAAATATAGACAACTATAGACCAATACTCTTTCTCTCACACCTATAGAAGCTCTTCACTAGGATTATCAATAACCGACTGAATACGAAACTAGAGTCCCATCAGCCAATAGAACAGGCAGGCTTTCGAAAAGGTTTTTGGTACCATCGATTATCTACAAACAAGTAAAACAGTCATTGAAAAACAACTGAATACAGTACGAGTATACCGCTACATTTGGCCTTTGTAGACTACCAAAAAGTCTTTGACAGCATCGAAACCTGGTCATTTCTAGCTGCAATGGAGGACGCGAGAATCGATTCCAGATATTATTCCATTATTAAAAACATCTATAATAGTGCAACCTTCAAAGTTAAATTAAATAATGACCTGTCAAAACAGAAAAAATACCACTCGGCAAGGGCGTGAGACAGGGTGATACCATCTCTCCCAAGTTGTTTACACTGGCACTAGAAAATGTCTTTAAGAAATTAGAATGGGAAAATAGAGGTCTAAACATCGATAGGGTACACCTTGGCCATCTTAGGTTCGCAGACGATATTGTCTTGCTGAGCACCGACATTCAAGAACTGAACACCGTGCTGAAGGAGCTAAATGACCAATCCCAGAAAATTGGCTTTAAAATAAACTTGAAGAAGACCAAGATAATGAGCAACAATATCCATAACATTACCATAGACAACGTTGTTATTGAAAACGTAGACCATCATATATATATATTTAGGTAATAAAATGAAGCTGGATAAAGAGAACCAAAATACGGAGATCAAACGCAGAATCCATTTGGCATGGGTAGCATTTGGAAATATGAGCGATATTTTCAAGGATAAAAAGGTGCCCATCAACCTAAAGAAAAAGGCTTACGACAGCTGCATTCTACCTGTGCTTACGTATGGCTTAGAAACTATAGTAATTACCCAAAAAACAGCAGAACAACTACGAGTATCACAAAGAGCCATGGAAAGAATAATGTTGGGAGTCACCATTAGGAAAAAAATACGGAACACCCACATAAGTCAAAAAACAAAACTAATAGATGTCGTTAAAAAAGTGGCAAGTCTGAAGTGGCAATGGATAGGACTTGTGGCAAGGCAGGATCCAGACCGATGGCCCCAAAAAGTCATTCTATGAAGACCTAAGGGAACAACAAGAAGTGTGGCCAAACCAAACCAAACCAAAACAAAAAAGAGATGACGTCAGAACAGTGGCAGGAAGACGGTGGATAAGATTGGCTAGAGATCGCGAAGCATGGAAAACCTAGAAGAGGCCTAGATCCAACACTGGATGGAACCGGGCTGAGAAAGAAGAAGAAGAAGGTTGATGGTCGCTAAATCGATCACTTTGATTTAACCAACTAATCAGTCGCGTGGAAGTGTATTATCGACCAGTTTGTTTGCCATTGAAATTGTCACATCCAATATTTGTAAATTAACATAAACAAAAATTGTAAATAAGAGTTTTTTAAATGAAGAACAGCGTGTAGAATTATTGGTTCAACTTTCCTTGGCCATACAGTTTCGAGGATACGTTGACCGGCGAACGTTACGTTTTTTAGAAAACGGTTTTCAAGACATATTAGAAAAGTTAAATTTAGATACTCGCGCATTAATACAATGGTTCCAACATGACTTATGTTGGAACTCTCTTACATGACTTCATTATGACGCACCAACCCCCCCCACAATGAAAGAAATGTTATTTAAAAAATTATTTATATCATAATTATGTAGACTCAGGGAGGTGGACCAATTCCATGGGTCTCCTCGGTCACCTGACCTATCCATTTTAGATTTTTTTATGCGGTATGGTTAACAACAAGGTTTACAAAAATACTTATGAATTAAGAGAGGCACTCGAAGAGGCGGAACAGGAGAAGTTTAATTAAGTCGACCGATGCGAAAAGATGCATTTATGTACTCAAAATAATTGCGGATTTTTTGAACATTTTCTAAAATAACTTAAAGTGTACGTAGTGTTATTATTTTTTTGAGTTTTAGTTTGTGTAATCTAAATTGTAAAGAGCCGTTTAATAACATATTTTGTCTTTTTATAAGTTATAAATCACAACAAAATTTGAACACCATTGAAAACCGTTCTCTAAAAAACGTAAGTAACTTTCACCGGTCAAAGTATCCTGTATGGCCAAGAAAAGTTGAACCAATAATCCTACACGCTTTTCTTCATTTGAAAAATTTTTATTTACATTTTTTGTTTATTTTAATTTACAAAGATTGGATGTGACACAATTTCACATTTCTGAGAGCAACGGCGATTGAACTTGCTTCCATGGCTAACTAAGTGAAATTAGTCAAGAAAGATAAGAATTGGCTATAACTCAGTAATTTTGTGAAAGAAACATATTATAGCTTATATTGCTGAAAAGCTTAAAAAATGGCGCTTTTCATGAAGTCATAGCCAACTATGGTTTCAATTTAAAAAAACGTATGTTTGTGTCATATGTCAAAAATGACAGGTTTTATGAAAAATCGGAGAACACAAACTCATTAGGAATGTGATTATCTACAACTTTTATCTGAACACTTTTTGTCTAAAATAGATTGTAATGGAATTAGGACAATTTTAAAATAGCCAAAATTTGTTTTTTTTCGAAATATCTAGTAAGCCATGAACTTTTTCAAAAATCTGAAAGGCGCATATTTATGACCCCACAAAACTGCAATTCTTTTCCCATTTAACCGACCCTCTATCTCCAGTAGTTTCCGAGATGCCCATAGAGAACATCGTAGGAAACTCACCCTGTATACTATTTTTTTACCTTTTACTTTATTTATTTTATATTTGCCGCGGTTTAGATTCCGCATAAACAATTTTTTTAACTTCCATAAACATAAGTTTCCATAGATTTTCGTGAAGTAATAAATTATAACACAAATTGCTTCTTGCTATGTATTTTTTCTAAAACACTATATTTTTTGTTTGTTTATGCCAATCGACAACAGTGAATGATAGGATTATGCTTTAAGCGAAATAATGCTAAATATACTCACTGAATAGATTTAATACTCACAATTAGATATCTATGATGTACATTTTACTACCTAAAACCTATAATTTAAATCACAATTTATTAATTAAGCACCAGTTGTTAATACTTATGTCACAGTTTATTCATTAGACAGCCAGTCTACTTACAATAATTTACATTTTACAAGTTGGAATATGAACTTAATTGAAGCTCCGTTTATAAAAACTGGGGATACTGGTACTCTGACTGCCTGGATATGTTCGAGAACAAGCGCGGATACTCGAACAATATCCAAGTCGACTAGCTGCCTAATGAATTGGCTGTGCTTATATTTTAATATTAGATTTTAACAATTTGGAAATGTTTCCATTTGTAAAAAAGCAATCTTATCTTAAACAACAATAAAAATCAACAATTAAGCCACATACTCACTCTGCGCCCATTAGTCGATCTGATAAAAAAATAATTTTATTGATGAAATATATTAAATAATTCTATAAGTTGGTATCTTTATAATCAATTTACACGCTAATTATTCTTACTATAGAGAGATACAGAACAAATTAAAAACGATTTATTTAGAAGCAAATTAGCATGTTATCTTAAAACTGGATATTTATTATTATAATATTCTCTAACCTATACAGGGTGGTCCGAACTGTATTCCGGAAACTTCGGCGGCATATCCTACAGATAAAAATAAGTAAAAAAGTTCGTATACCTAAATGTATATCCTGAAATGCTTAGTTTCGGAGATACAAGGTGTAGAAGTTTCATTTTTATTTCGATTTGTTCCGAATAATTTCTGAAGTAACGGCAATATTTGGATGAAAATTGGTGTCTGGGAGTTTTTTATATAATACATATATACATATGTTTAACTGGTTTGAAGAGTAATAACTTTTCGTCCGTACCTGTATAAAACTACTGAGTAAAAAAATATATATTCGCAACGTTTTCTACATAAAAAAGGTCTCTTGGTAAAAATCGCTACGAGTAATAGTTCTCGAGATATTTGGAATCAAAATTATCAATACCTGTCATCATTGACATAAATTAAACATGTTGTTTTGTTTCATCCAAATATTGACGTTAGTTCAGATATTATTTGGAAAAAATCGAAATAAAAATGAAAATTCTACACCCTGTATCTCCGAAACTAAGCATTTTAGGACATACATTTATGCGATTTTTTTACTTATTTTATCCGCAGAATATGCTTTCCGGAATAGAGTTCGGACCACCCTGTATATTATTGACACATCCTTATAAGTAATTTTATTTTAACTAAAATTTATTTAAGTAAAAATTCTAAGTCACATGCCGCCCTAATACAAGGTTTTTCATAAATAAATGCAAGTATTTTGAAGGGTGGTAGATCTAGAGGAAAGAAGTATGTTTTCTGTATATCATTTTTAAAATTAATTTAAAATAGGCCAGTTATTTAGCAAAATAAAAACACTAAATCACCACAATACACCAAAACACTTTTACTTTTACACTGGACGCGCGTTTCGCTAACCATGTTAGCATCATCAGCAGATGATTATAAACTTTTTAAGTAATTTTTTTGTAAAGTCCATAGGCTTCAATTTCAAGCATACTTCGTTTACTATACAGAAATTTGATTTCTAAATCAAGCCATTTTTGTTTTGCAATTTTCTCTACCTTATCACTAACGTTACTTTTCGGAATATCAACTTTAATAAAACTAGGATAAACTGAATTGGCTTTGCATGATTTAAGACATTTTTTAATTATTTTTTCTTTGTTTTATTTTTTTCTTTGTGTTCGACTATATTAAAGTCTTGTAAAGTGCATTCTTATCTAAGTCAAAAACTATCCATTTGATAAAAAATAATTAAGATAAAAAAATCAACATGTACAGCTCAGCAAATATAGAATGATATTAGGCATAAATTTCTTGCTACTACCTTAATGCATTTCTTTTATATTTTGATATTTTTGACGTTGTAGAGTTTAGCAAGATAAAACGTTTCTCTAATATAATAACCTTTGTATCTCTTCTGGATTGCTGTAGTATATATTCGTGTAGAAAAAAAAACACCGGGTATAATACTTATAAATTTATAAAATTGTCCTAATTATTTTTTATCCTACCGTATAATTAAATTCTATATTTTTATTATATTATAACTGGTAAGGAACTTAAAGACAACAAACATATACATACACTAGTATTATCACAATAACTGTCAGTCAAATTTTACATAATTTGTTTATTGTACACCGAAAAAAACGCCTATTTTTTACTGGCTACAGACGTTTAATCAAATTCACAAAATGAAATGAAAACATTTCATTCTTTTCCCCCTGTTTTATTAAAAAATATAATTTTAACGAAATTCCGAATTAATATTTTTATATAATTCTGTATTCTATTTTTTTTTCTTTCTCTTAAATACCATACTGTCAAAAAAAATGACGTCACAGTAATTTGAAAATGACAATCAATGATATTTTTGACTGGCCGATCTTTATAACCGTTATTTATCAAAAAGTAAAATAAAAATTTGTCAAAAAATACTGTTTAGTTTAGAATAAAATAGTTTTTTAAAAAAGTTTTAACAAGAAAGAAATTAAAACTGATTGTTACTTCAAAAGCCACTGTAAAGCCATGTTTTTCGATCATATCGTCGGTGAAACGTGATAAACTGCTAACTCCATTATTCCTAATTTTACAGGAGAGCAAATAAACGGTACAAAAAAATATGTACACATGTGGGAAGTATTTTGATGCGTTAATATGATAAAGAGATAAGAATTTTATTTGCTGGGGAACAATAAAACTCAATATTTCGTGTTACGTCATTTTTTTCAGACACAATAGAGAGATAGCAGATATTCGTCTTGCAGAAATAAGAAATAAAAATATACTTCTGGAGATAGCAACCTTTATTGTTCGAAATTTTGAAAGTGGAAATGAATATTACCCAAACAGATTTATAAATAATCAATTAAATTTAAAAAATATGATATTCATAACCATATATTTATAATATCGTCGGTCTAGAAGCAAAACATACAAGTCCAAAAACGAATAAATTTTTAATAAAAATTTTAAAATTTTTTGCATTTTTAAAGAACTGAAGTAGCAGAATTTTGGACTTAATGAATAATTTAAAAATTAAACTCTTAGAATTATTCTTAGAAGATATGGTAGAATCCTTTCATATGCTTATCCTAATTTTTATACAACGGTAGTAGACCGAGCTTGGAAGACAGTGCGTGATTTTATTAAATTTTTATTACTTTTCTCCTTATTTTTTTAATTTTTATAAAAATTATGTATCATTTACGTGAAAATACGTTGAAAAAAATAAAACTGATTAGGTATTATGGAAATTCTTGTACAAGTAAGTAATGTTATTTAAACTATTTATAGCACGCCGATGAACTGCTCGTATATAGAGAACTTCGTTTTCCCCTTACCCTTTACGGATACCCTGTATTTATAGAACGGATCGACGCAGGGTCGGACTGGCCATATTTTATAGATAACTATTAGGGGGGCCCTTTATAGTTCATTAATAATTAATGAGAATTAAGAATAATTATTATTCTTAACAATATTTGCTTTTGCATTGCATTATGGAATTTGCATTGCATTGGTTTATTTGCATTAGGGTAGTTCCCTGATTTCTATACAGGGTGAGTCTTAAATAAGTGCAAATATGTGCAGGGCTGGTAAATCTCAATAAAAGAAACATAATATTTTCTCTTTACCGTTTTTTCAAATAAATCCAAAACAACCGAGTTATTTCACTTTTAAAATTTCCAATTTTTTGCTATAATTTTGAGAAGCATTGGATTTTCTTTCTTGTAAATTTAATCTACTGCCTGTGTTACCATATTACAAACAAATTATGTTTTTAAACTCAAAATTAAAAAAATCCAATTTTTTTAAATTCCAAATTTTCAAAGAAAAAATTTCGCGCAAAATAATCGTGTTTCTTGGGTCGAAATATACTACCCTAAAAATATTTGCACTTATTTAAGACTCACCCTGCATATAATAGGGAAAAATTGACCAAAACGTAAGGCGAAAAATACGCCAAAAAACACACTAGCCCCCTCCTTACATTGCCACCCGGCCCCTTTGGCCTAGTGCGACCCTGGATCGACGTACTGTACTAAAAAACAGACGACTAAGAATCTGTGTGTTTGCTTTAGCGTGATCGTAACGAAAATTACGGAGATAGCAGCATTTCGGTGGCTATTTCAGATCACTAGGAGTTAGCAGATATTATTGAGTTAAAATAAAAAAAAATTCTTTAATGGGAAAAATATGTTTGCTTTCCCTACTTATAGAGTATTTTTTTCTCTTTCTAATGGTATAAAAAAACTTATTAACGTAAAAAATGGAGTTAGCAGGTTATCACGTTTCACTGACGATATGGCATATTTAAATGTTTTAAAAATTCCGTATATATTTTAGGCTTAAATTTTTCTATAATTAATTTGTGATGAAAGTAACAATAATGGCGAATACTGCTATAAGTACAGAAGGAACCAAAAGATGACGTGCGGCTGACATTTCATCTCTACAATAGTCACCGAAAAGTACTTTTTCAAACTTGTTAACAAACAAATTTTTGCTACAAACGGGTTTGAGATCACTAGGTTTCGAGGTAGTACCATTACCAGTAGATTCTTCTTCCTGGAAAACCAAAAAAATTTATACATATAGTAATGAGCAACATAAAATAAAATAACAAGATTTTAAAAACATGTTCAAAATAGTTTCGATAAATATAATAATTTTATTTTTTAGATTTCTGTTTCAATAACGAAATAGTGACTTTTTCAAGATTTTATTTTTTGTTATCTCTTAGGTTAAAAAAAACATGACCTGTTTATAGTTAAACCTCCATTTCAGTTGTATTACGGAGAATAAACCTTCTCTGTTAGAAGAAGTAACATAATTGTAGTTTGTCTTAGATCAATCTAAATAATCCATTAAGCTTTCAATATATTTGAAATCCACTGATTCTCGAAACGCTTTATATTCGACAGTTTTATCCTCTAATAAACTGCATTATTAATTATTTTGAACAATAATATTTAGAGTAATTGTGGTAGTTAAAGACAGACAGCAATATACAGTATGTCCCCGGATTATCTTTCCAAGAGGAAAATCATTTTTATTATTAATAACACCCTGTAGCAACGAAACAAAGCGGAATCGGACCTATGTTGATATGAAAAATAAATCTTATTTCTACGTGAGGAATCTCCCCACGGGAGATGGCATATGTTTTTTGAAACACCCTGTATAATTACATACAAGGTATGTGGTATAACTTTTAAATTTTTTATATTATTTGGAACTTTGAAATTGTTTAAAAACTTATCTGTGGCGTTTGAAAATTAAATTATAGCATCTTCTATTCGGAGTAAAAATGACTCTTTGTGCCTGGGCTGTATGTCAAACGTACAGCGTCGCCACAATAAGTGTCATTTTTACTCCTAATAAAACAATAGGTATACTATTTTCCTCTTCTAAAGATAATCCGGGGACATACTGTATATTCTTCTATTTATATAACAAAATATTTTATATGTGTTTCATACCAAATTTTTACCAACTGCTACAAAAGTAATATTTGAAAATATTAGACCATTTACTTCTGCTTTAATATTCCCTTTAAAAGATTTTTGAGTAAAAAATATAATGCTACCTTTGCAAGATTCTTACTACATATACAAAGAGGAACTTTTATGCCGCTACAAAAGTTCAATATCAGCGTTTTTTGAACATTCAAGAGTATATTTATAAATGCGAAACATACAGTTTCATACGTACAAATTTTTATTAAAAAAGTTTGAAGTTTATTTACCCATATTTAGAAAAAAATTACTTATAATATTACTTTTCAACAAACACAAATCAACAAATTCGACTTTTTGTTGTCCTAGCAACTAGTTTCACCTGTAATTTACTAAAAATTATAATTCTGTTGAAATATCTCCAATTCACTGACGTAAAATTGAGTTTATTTAGACTTTTAATTATATTTCTAAAATAATAGAGTAGGTACAATACAGGGTGGTCCGAAATGTATTCCAGAAACTTCGGCAGCATATTCTGCAAATAAAAATAAATAAAAAAGTTCGTATAAATGTATGTCCTAAAATGCTTAGTTTCGGAGATACATACATGGTGTAGAAGTTTCATTTTTATTTAGATTTTTACCAAATAATTTCCGAAGTAACTTAAATATTTGGATGAAAATTGGTGTCTCGGAGATTTTTGACATAGGATATTTGATTTTGATGTCAATATGACTCCTATTTGTAGGAGGCGCCACCTACATGTGTTTTAACTGTTTTGAAGAGTAATAACTTTTCGTCCCTACCTGTATAAAACTATTGAGAAAAATTTACATTTCCGTGCCTTTTTACGTAAAAAATGTCTCTTGGTAAAAATCGCTACGGGCAACCGCTCTCGAGATACAATGGAAATAATCAATACATGTCATTGACAAAAATAAACACGCGTTGAGTAGATAGTTATTTGACTGAAATAATAAATTTGGCAAATTTTTATTTTTTTAAATTAATCATAAATTTTTCTGAGAAAAAATAATGATAAAACAGTTTCTGTTGAACTTTTGGTTCAAAAACATTTCAAATTTGTGATTTCAGTCTAATAACTATTTAGTCAACATGTTTAATCTATGTCAACGATGACTGGTATAGATAATTTCGATTCCAAATATCTCGAGAACTATGACTTGTAGCGATTTTTACCAAGAGACTTTTTTAAGTAGAAAACGTTGTAAATGTATATTTTTTTACTCAGTAGTTTTATACAGGTACGGACGAAAAGTTATTACTCTTGAAACCAGTTAAAAAATATTTAGGTGGCGCCCCCTACAAGTAGGAGTCATACTGACAAGAAAATCAAATGTTTCATGTCAAAAAACTCCCAGACGCCAATTTTCATCCAAATATTGACGTTACATCAGAAATTATTTGGAAAAAATCCAAATTAAAATGAAACTTTTTACACCCTGTATCTCCGAAATTTTCTACTTATTTTTATTTACTGAATATGCTACCGAAATTTCCGGAATACAGTTCGAACTACCCTGTATATGCCAAAAAGTGTTCAAAGGTGTTCAAATAACAAGTCGTAAGAGTCAATTCTATTAAGAGAAATTGAATCGTGTGATTCGATTCACTAAAAAGAATCCCATCCGTAAGGCCCATCACTATTTGGCAAAAATAACTATGATACGTTAACCCTTATTAAGTGATGCCACAACCCTAGATCATATATACTTACGTGGATAAATAAATCACTATGGAAACTGTCGCAAACATATCAACGACTTCCATTTATCTTCTATTTTTGTTGCACACGCGGTGCTTCTATTCTATCTATCCTAGTCGAGAACCTATCGTCCGCGCGCCAAATTTGAACATTAATTTAAAAAAATTAATTTGTAAAATGCTTAAATTTGAACAATCAATTGAATATTTACTTTCACAAAAATTAAGCTATATAAAAAATGCATTTACCCACTTCGTACAAATATCAATATTCTTAGGAAATCTAACCAGAAAGTACTCCGTATGTGGCTTAATATAAATTAAAGAACTGAATACTTGCCTATGAAAAGATAATTCGGGGACCTTTATATTAGAACTTTCACACACTAAACACTTTCTAGTCATTTTTACGAGTATTCATAAAGTCCAACCAAAAAAAAATAGAAATATAATTGCACATACTTAAAATTAACTTCCCACTGAACACACTTGCATCCTTGGCTATATAAAAGCGGTCGATAAAAGAGTAGTTAATACAATTTTTAAATAGAAAAACGCAAAAAACAAGCGTCGTTACACAATGGAAATAAGATTATGACATATGATTATGACAAGATTATGACGACAATATGATGACAATGAAAACTTTTCCATAACAATGTATAATTTGTACTTTGTAAACCGTATAAAATTGTGATTATTTTGGAAATACTTGCAACTTTTAATACGCATGCGCAAAGTAAGGTCCTCGAGAAAGACAAACCTATTGAACGTTCCTTAAGTACAATAAAGAAGGTTTGAAAATGGCATGTCGTGATGTTGGAGACATAATTTTTAATGCTAAACTTATGGTGTTGATTTATCCACATAGATATATGATCTAGGGTTACAACTTACTTCTGGCAAATAATTTCCGCACGTAGGGAATCCCTTAGGCACAGGGGGCATTTGTCCATTTTCCCCAACTTGAAAGACCAGAGCCATGCCTACCTCCGCATGGAACTCGATGTGGCAGTGGAATATCCAATAACCTAGAAAGCCAAGGGACAAAAATAAGTATATCTAGAAGGAAATTCTATTAAGATTTAATTTATTCCATCACGGGGTGACGCATAGCTTTATAGATTTTTTGCGAGAGAGTTGAGATTTGAGGTTTTCACGATGAAAAACGAACATAAAGCGGGTCATACACGACAAAATATGTCGTACAAGTTGTAAATGTTCGTTACTTTAATCGTGTGAAATTAAATAGGTTAGTGTAAGTGTCAGGATAGTGTAAAAAAAAGTTCAAAAAAATTAAAGTTAATATAAAACCATACACTATTCTAACTTTATAATTTTATAATGTTTTTTTTTTAATTTTTATTAAAAAACGATAATTCTATAATTCGGTCGGATTCTATAATTCGGTCATCTATATCTCTGACTACTACTAACTGCTACTAACCAACAATTTGTTATGTGTGGTGTGTGTTTGTTTAAATGTTTTGTTCATTATACATGTTGGGGATTTATTTTTAAATTAATGCTAAGATAATCGTTAGGCCAGTGCCTTCTATTAAAAGATCAGCCTAGGGGCGGACTTTTGTTTACTTCATCAGCTGTACATACTTAGATATTGGGTTAGATTCCGTTTCATATTTTTTTTTTAACCAAACCTCCCCAAATTGGCTCCCCAATTAATTTAGATTTTTGGGTAGTTTAGAAAATTGACATTGGCAACGCCGCTAACCTCATTCTTTTGTTTGTTGTTTGTTCAAAAAGCGGCACGCGGCGTAGTACAAGGCTTGATCATTTTTTAAGAAATTTTTGATTGTTAATTTTATTTTTCTGCAAACTAAACAGTTGTTTTTTATTAAAACAGCATGCGGCCCGTCTGGCTGCCGATACCCGTTGCGTTTACTACTGCGCATCGGAAGAAGATCTTATATTTTTTATTAATTTAGTCCTATAAATTCTAGTATTGAATACAAATCGAACATGTCTCCATAGCGCAGTGCGTAGAGTTTTCGACCACGAACCGAAGATTCAGAGTTCAAATCCGGGTCAGGTCAAAGACTTTTTTATTTTATTTTCGTTTATATTTTGATAGTAAAGTATTAAATAATTCTGGTAATTAAAAAAACAAATATTATATAAAGCGCTTGACGTGAAAACCTGATATTTGGAAAACAGTTTGACTTTAGGGTGTAGAGGTTCGATTAGAAAGGATTTTTCGAAACTCGAATTCTAAGGGAGTGAAACTATCCCTCAAATATTAAAATATTTTTTATTAAAAAACCGGTGAGTTTCGAAAAAACTCTTAAACATGTATATTTCATTTTGTTGTTTTACATGTTTTAAGATTTTTTATAAATTTATACAGGGTGTTTCATAAAATATGACCAATGAGTAATCACGATTCTGCTTAAACTGCTTGACATTTAAAGCTGATTTTTGGCAAACGGATTGACTCTGGGGTGTAGAGGTTCGATAAGGAGGGGTTTCTCGAATCTCAAATTCCAAGAGGGTGAAAACGCCCTTAAAATATTACAATATTTGTTATTTAAAAAATGGTTAGTCTTCCGGGAAAACGCTTGGACAAGCATAATTTATTTGTTTTTTTACATATTTTGAAATTTTTGAAAAAATCATACAGGGTGTTCCAAAAAGTTAGGTAATTTCTTAACCACGAAACTGCTTGACGTAAAAAGCTTATTTTTGGCAAACGGATTTTTCGAAAGTCAAATTCCAACGAGATGAAATTACCCCTCAAATATTACCAAGTTATATAATAATATCGCCATATTGTTTTTTCTCATGCTGACATAAATGTGAGAAAATTTTATCCAGTTTGTATGTTAATAGAAATTCTTGCTTTGCTTTATCATCACCATTACAAATGATTAATTCGACGCGAACGAAGTCGCTGGTATACGCTAGTTGAGTATAAATCTATATTAATATATAAAATCCTTAAGTGACTGACTCACTGATTAATCACGATCCTGCTCAAACCACTCAACGTAAGAAGCTCAATTTTGGTATACAGGTTGATTCTAGGGTGTAAAGGTTCGATAAGAAGGGATTTTTCGAAATTCCAATTCCAAGGGGGCGAAATCACCCCTCAAATAATACAATATTTTTTATTTTAAAAACGGTCAAGTTTTCGAAAAAACGCTTAAACAGGTATATTTTAATTTTTTTTTTATTTTAAGATTTTTTTAAAAATGTATACAGGGTAGTTCGAAAAATCTGGTCTTGATTAATCACGATCCTGCTTAAAGCGTTTGACGTAAAAAGCTGATTTTTGGAAAACGGATTGACATTAGGGTGTATAGGTTCGATAAGAAGGGATTTTTCGAAACTCGAATTCTAAGGGGGTGAAACCACCCTCAAATATTAGAATATTTTTTATTTGAAAACCGGTGAGTTTTTCGGAAAAACTCTTAAACACGTATATTTTATTTTGTTGTTTTACATATTTCAAAATTTTTTAAAAATTTATACAGCGTGTTTCATAAAATATGACCATTGATTAATCACGATTCTGCTTAAACTGCTTGACGTTTAAAGCTTATTTTTGGCAAACGGATTGACTGTGGGATCTAGAGGTTCGATAAGGAGGAGGTTCTCGAATCTCAAATTCCAAGAGGGTGAAAACGCCCCTCAAATATTACAATATTTGTTATTTAAAAAACGGTTAGTCTTTTGGGGAAAACGCTTGGACACGCATAATTTATTTTGTTTTTTTACATATATTGAAATTTTTTAAAAAATCATACAGGGTGTTCCAAATAGTTGGGTAATTGATTAACCACGATTCTGCTTAAACTGCTTGACGGTAAAAGCTTTTTTTTGGCAAGCGGATTTTTCGAAAGTCAAATTCCAAAGAGATGATACTACCCCTCAAATATTACCATGTTATATAATAATATCGCCGTATTGTTTTTTCTCATGCTGACATATGTAAATGTGAGAAAATTTTATCCAGTTTGTATGTTAATGGAAATACTTGCTTTGCTTTATCATCACCATTACAAATGATTAATTCGACGCTAGTTTATTATAAAACTAAAATATACTGGTCTAAAAAAACTAAAAATGGACTAAAAAATCAAATTAGTTGTGTGTTGTGTATGTACAGAGCTCTTTTCGGATTATAATGTTTGAAAGAAAAGACGTCAATTTTTTATTCGGTCGCCATGCGGCATTCCATTACGCCATTAAAAAGTTACGATCCGCGTGTCTGAAAACTCGATTTTCAATTAAAAGAGTTTTCCGTTCCGTTGAGACCAAAGCCGGGTTAAAATTGAGTTCTATTAGAATTCAAATGTATTTTTCTCCCTGCTGCAGTTTTTCTAAATTAAATTAAGGCGGAAGCAGTATGGTGTTGCAGTTTTTAATCCCGAGTATCATGTTTAAAGAAATACAATTAACTTCCGTTTCATGTTTTAGGTAGCAACCAATAAAATACAGGGTGTCCCAGAAATAAGTGCAAGTATTTTAAGGGGTGGCAGATCTGGTCAAAAGAAACATATTTTCTCTTTACCATTTTTAATATAAATTGAAAATAGCCCAGTTATATAACTTTGCAAATATTAAAAAATAATAGCAACATTTTGAGAACCGCTGGCAGATATACTGGCCAAATACATTCAATTATCTGGTTCAAGCCCAGATCTCAGGTAATTCGACGCCCTGTGTTGTCATATTGACAAGAAAGTATATATATGCTGAAAAATAAGTCATAAAATCACACCACCTGAGAAGTTAGCAGAGATTGCAGAGATGCACTACATTTTTAAGATTGCATTAAAAAAACTTACCTAACATTAAAGAACAGATCGGTAACTATGACAGTTCTCTTTTTCGAAAATACACTTCACTGTGCTGCTTTAGGCTAAAAACATAGTGGCGCGACGAGGAGAGCGGCGAGCAAGCAGCGCGATATCGCGTGGATCGGGCCTCGAGGTGCTAAATCATAGTAGAGCGGCGAGCAGATCGCTTTACTATGTTCACGCGTACTTTTCTTCACAGGTTTGTTTTGGACGCGACATCGCGCTGCTTGCTCGCCGCTCTCCTCGTCGCTCCACTATGTTTTTAGCCTTTCTTGTACATACTATTATAATAACTGCTAAAATAACAGTCCCCATTTCTAACAGATTATTTTCATATAGGCTTCATCACAATTTGAACCACTGATTTACAAAACACATTGAAAAGCGCGATGTCAGCATAATTGGGGACGGGCTACAGGATGAGGCCCGCAACGTTTGGAATCGATGCCTCTGAATGGACGAAATCATAAGGATTTTTTTAAATTATGGGTCGATTGAAACCAATCTCGGCACGGGGATAGAGGTACCCGAATGGGGTCCTCAGATGGACAGACAGACACACGATCATTTTAATACAAATATTTTGTGAAAGTGGATCAAATTATTTATTAATTTTTAATTTATTACTTTTTCAAGCATGTCCTTCAAATCCTAAAATTTGATAGTTGTTAGTAAAAAGTTTTTCTGTGAATATGCGTACATAGTGCATACACAATTTTTTTTATTTAGTAATATAAATTAGATAAAAATTATAGAACTTACCAGGGTTGTCAGCTTTAAACCGAACAATAGTGTATCCTCCATCGGGGACGTTTACAGTATCCTTAATAGGAGCATTAATCAAGTTTCTTTTGATGTAACCGTCGCTATCTCTTTTCTTCACTTCATCTACGGTAACGTTCCTTCCTAGTCTCTCCATGGCTACCACTCTGAAAGCGTAACCGTGTAAGTGGAGGGGATGGTTAGCGTCATAGGCAAACCCTTCATCGATGATCACCAATTCGACAACAGCATTCAAAGGAATCTGAAAAAGATAATTAGACATTCTATCATAAACAGGGGATCTCTTAAATAAGTGCCAGTATTAGAAAAAGATTCTATCATAAAAGACTTCCAATTAAAATAAAAAATCTGTAGAAAATTAAACTAAAAGTTTAAAAAATTATTCCCAAGGGTTAATGAACAGTGCTTCCCATAAAATCAATAAAATGAAAAATATACGAAATAATATACATGTACTGATTTTTTTCGAAAATCGACAACTATGAAACTATGAACCCTTTCCGGACACAAACGGTACATTGTGAAACAGGAAATTGTAGAGAGAAACAAGCCCTATAACATAGGATACAACATTTTAGTGAACAGTGCTTTCCATAAAATGAATAAAATGAAAAATATACGAAATAATATACATGTACTGATTTCTTTCGAAAATCGACAACTATGCAACTATGAACCCTTCCCGGACACAAACGGTACATTGTGAAACAGGAAATTGTAGAGAGAAACAAGCCCTATAACATAGGATACAACATTTTAATGAACAGTGCTTTCCAAAAAATCAATAAAATGAAAAATATACGAAATAATATACATGTACTGATTTCTTTCGAAAATCGACAACTATGAAACTATGAACCCTTCCCGGACACAAACGGTACGTTGTGGGACAGGAAATTGTAGGGGGAAACAAGCCCTATAACATAGGATACAACATTTTAATGAACAGTGCTTTCCATAAAATCAATAAAATGAAAAATATACGAAATAATATACATGTACTGAGTTCTTTCGAAAATCGACAACTATGAAACTATGAACCCTTCCCGGACACAAACGGTACGTTGTGGGACAGGAAATTGTAGACAGAAACAAGCCCTATAACATAGAATACAACATTTTAATGAACAGTGCTGTCCATATAATCAATAAAATGAAAAATATACGAAATAATATACATGTACTGATTTCTTTCGAAAATCGACAACTATGAAACTATGATCCCTTCCCGGACACAAACGGTACGTCCCGAACAAAAGTCTCGATCTCAGCATTTTTAACTTTTTATATTAAAAGTTGAGACCGAGACTTTGAGTCTTTTTGCTTCTTTTGTACTAACTGGTATTTTAAACTATAATAACCTCTGTATTGACTCTGAAATTATAGTATTTATGGAATAAAAATTCATTATAAATCTACTCTCGAACAACTCGAACAAAATATTCAGCATTCGGAAAAGGTTTAACTTTAGTATAAAAGTATATTTGAATAACCGTGTATATCTATGAAAATATCTTTAAAATGAGAGCTATTATGGCCTAAATAATTTTCAAAAAATTTGAAGTAAAATTCTCAAGAAAACGTGATATAGAGCATTTAGACATACTGATCACACTGTATATCCCGTCATCTAACAGACTTTGCTAATAAAGCATAAAAAACGCATTGATGCAAAGGGAATTTAAAAATACAGTACTTACAGTATTTTACAGTAATGATTTTATTAAAAATCTTCCAAACTCAATCATATAACTAAAAACAGCCGATTATATAAAAGCCATACAACTGAAATTTAATTTAAAATAAAATATGTTCGAAGTCGACTAAAGCATAATTTTACACTAACTTCATTTGGTGTTTTTTTTTTCTCTAAGAAATCTGAAAAGAAGGCGATAATTTAATAATGAGAGAAAAATTAAAAAGAAACTCTTGAATGGATGTTCCTTTAAAGCTTTCAAAGCTGGTAAAGACATTTTTTGATAATTCATTAGTTTTTTAATTATTTTAAAATTTACCTACGCTTAAGCCTTTTGGACAATAATTTTGTTTTATTTTTAATTTATCAGAATATTTCTATTTTTGATAAAAGTTTCAGCATCTCAGTAAACAGTCAGATTCACCACGCATCTCAGTTCACACTTTTTAATGAATTCTGTTGTGATACTTTAAACTTAAAAATTTTTACTAGCAAACCTTGCAGTCGAATATTGTTTTTTTATAACCTCTTTTAGTGCGAGGTGTACAAAATAGCTTAATAGCCGTTGCAAAAGACTCAGCGCAACCTTATTAGAATATTTTGAACAAGAAAGCGGTAGTAATTCCCCTTTATGTCCCTTAAGTGCTGTTAAGGAAGCGAGTTTGTTGATGTAAATAATAACTGTTTATATATTTATAAATAATTTATTTTTGTTTCCTAAATGATTTTGATTAAAAGAAAATATGTAAAAGTGGGCAAAGCTGTGCCGGTCAAGCTTAATCACGTAAGACTAAAACAACACTAAAACTTTATTGACTAAAACAAGACTAAAACTTTATTTGATATGAATTATACAGGGTGGTCCGATCTGTATTCCGGAAACTTCGGCAGCGTATTCTGCAGATAAAAATAAGTAAAAAAGTTCGTATAAATGTATGTCCTAAAATGCTTAGTTTCGGAGATACAAGGTGTAGAAGTTTCATTTTTATTTCGATTTTTTCCAAATAATTTCTGAAGCAACGTCAATATTTGGATGAGCATTGGTGGATGGATGTTTTTTGACATGAGAAATTTGATTTTGATGTTAATATAACTCCCATTTGTAGGTGGCGCCACCTACATATGTTTCAAATGTTTTGAATAGTAATAGGACATACATTTATACAAACTTTTTTATTTATTTTGATCTGTAGAATATGCTGGCGAAGTTTCCGAAATACAGTTCGGACCACCTTGTATATGGTAAGTATATATTTTATACATGTCTATGGTTCCCATTTTTAACTTTACCTTATTATTTTTAATTATCAATTTATTTATATTCGTAATTATACAGGGTTGTTCACCACATACGACACCGAATATTGTAGCTAAACGATTAGATTTTTACAAATTGTAAGTTCTGGGTTTGTTGAAGGACTATTAGAGCTACAATTTAACATTTTTTTTACAAGATACAGAGTGTCCCAAATAAATAAAAAATATCAAAGTTGTATTTTTTTAAATGGAACACCCTATATATTATTGCATTTTTAGTTTCTACGATTAAAATAAAGGTAAATTTGATTAAGGTCTATTACACTTAAACCTTACCGTTTTTGAAATATTTTCAATTTTGTAAAATTGCAGTATAAAATTTAAGGCTTCTTTTCTTCGAGGGTATCAAAGTTTTTAATACTAAATTGTTACTGAAGTTTATTTATTGAACAATTATTGTGTTGCAATAATAAAAATTTTATTACCTTATACAGAGTGTCTAAATATTTATTTTAAATAATTATTGGCTTTAAACGGCAATAATTTGTTTAATTTAAATGGAACACGCTGTATATTTTATAAGAATCAGATGCACAATTTAATTGTCTATCAAATTGTATTATACCATTCTTTACCTATCTCTTCAAGCTTCCGTAGAAAATGCATTTTTTTGTAATTTAGAACTCATTTATCAATATACCCATGGAACACTGACATTTTAGATTATTTTTAAAGATGTATCAAATTTTTAAAGAGTATAGATACTAATATTGTCGATATAGTTTGTTTATTTCATTAAGAAATAAAAAAAAACTGTTTAAATTTTTGTTAAAGAGAACCAATTAATATGATTCCAGTATTCAAACTACATTAATTGACTGTTTGCGTTGATTAATAATAATTGCTCCATCTCACACCTTAAAAATGATATTTCATTTTTTGACAAATGCTTATTTATAACAACAGAGACGTTCATTTTCATAACTTATTATTATATTGATTTCTGATTCAAATCCACATTTATTTAGAATAATTTATTAACGAATACAATTAAGTATGTAATTAATTAGTATTTGGGCGGAAATACTGGTGGTATATTTAATTAATGGTATACTCTTTTATAAAGATTTAAATAGTTTTTTTTGCATACAAATGGGCTGAAGTAATATTATCGTTTTACTAAAAACGATAATATTACTAACCTATTTATTGTGCATTTGTTGTTTTAAAACAATCTAATATGTCAATATTCCATGGGTATATTGATAAATGAGGTCTAAATTATAAGAAAATGCATTTTCTACGAAAACTTGAAGGGATAGGTAAAGGTGGTATAATACAATTTGATAGACAATTAAATTATACATATGATTCTCATAAAAATATACAGGGTATTCCATTTAAATTAAACAAGTTATTACCGTTTAAGAGCTAATAATTATTTAAAATAATTTTAGACACTCTGTATAAGGTAGTATGAAATTTTATTATTGCAACACAACAATAACTGATCAATAAATAAACTTCAGTAAATATTTAGTATTAAAAAACTTTGATAACCCTCGGAGAAATGAAGCCGCTTAAAATTTATACTGCAATTTTACAAAATTGAAAATATATTCATAAACAGTAAGGTTTAAGTGTAATAAACTGTAATCAAATTTACCTTATTTTAATCGTAGAAACTAAAAATGTAATAATATACAGGGTGTTCCATTTAAAATACAACTAATAATATTTTTTATTTATTTGGGACACTCTATCTTAACAAAAATATTTTAAATTGTAGCACTAATAGTCCTTCAACAACCTTAAAACTTACAATTTCTAAAAATCTAATCGTTTAGTTACAATACTCCGTGTCGTATGTGGTGAACAACCCTGTATACTTAGAACAACAAATATTTTAATATTATAAAGACTTTATAATAAGCCTACCTGGTATCCATGGGGACATTCACAGTGGGAATTCGCACAATCCTGATCTTTGATAGTATCGTTGTTACAAAACATATTTTTAGGTATCTCTTCTCTTTGGGACAGCAAACTAAACGACGGTATTTCCATAGAAATATGATTGATTTGAGGAGTCAAAAGCTGATTTAAACTAGAGGTAACTAAAAATTAAATTCCTTAGTAATTCTTAATACTTTTTTAAATACCTTTACAAAAAAAAATAGAAAATATTACTACTTACCGTTATTAAATTCATATCCTTCTCTGTGGAAGTACTTATTGTCTATGGTATAAAAGTCGTATGCTAGATAGATTTGGACATCTGGATCAACTTTCAGTCTGGAGTCCCAGCTATCCAGTGAACTTAGTTCTGGCATGGAAACGTGTTTAGTGTTGTTACTTTCGGTGCCCTTGTTTAGGGAATTAATTTGCTGTAACAGAAATGTGTAATTTAATGTAATTTATGACGTACCTCAAAAAGACTAATTTTGTTTATCATATCATTCTTTCATTAATCCCATGTATTCCAAAAACGATCGTCGTAGACTTTAAATTAGTACACAAAAAATTCAGCGAATTTCTTATTTGGCTTTAAGGTTCAAACCTATAGGGAAATTAAAATAACTTTGGTTGCACATCATAATACGACAACCAGCAAACTCCATAAGACGGCGCATGGCGTCATTGATGACGTGCAACGGAAGTTGCTTTAATTTCCCTTTTATCTACCGAGTAGTGCACCGTCGTTGAAAACATAGGAAATCCCATGCATTTGAACTGTCCAGATATTGGCTCCCCTGTTAATGTTAGAGCGAAGTTGTAAATAGGTTTTTTAAAGGTGTGCGTATGCTGAGTACGCATGCCAAATTTTAACAGTCTTGGACAAGCCGATTTTAAGTAATTTAAGAAATACTTCATCTATTTTTAAATTAAAACTGAACAAGGTAACAATGCAAAACCAGGCAATAAGGCAACAAAGAACAAATCGTTCTGTAGCCATCTTCACAGACAGCCAAGTGGCGCTAAAGGCACTCGGCTCCGCGAAGGTCAATTCTAGACTAGTGTGGGACTGTGTGCGTGCTCTGAATACTTTGGGCGAACGTAGCACTGTTACGTTGGCCTGGGTGCCAGGGCACGAGGGTCACAAGGGTAACGAAAAGGCAGATGAAAGGGCCGAGCAAGGCTCATCAATGCCATTCATAGGCCCAGAACCCTTCTGCGGCGTTGCAAAGGCGGTCACGAGAATGGCCACGGAACGATGGGTGGCCAACGAATCTCTAGAATGGTGGAGAAACTCACCAGAGCAGAGACAGGCGAAAAGGTTCATTGTAGAACATTCGCCAAAATTCACGGTAGACTTGATAAGCAAACAGGGCATTGTAAGCTAAATAGGCATCTAAAGCTGATGGGATTGACAGACGAAGCTATGTGTAGGTTCTGCCAATCTGAAGAAGAAACGTCAGAACACATTTTATGTCGGTGTGACAGCCTGGCAAATGTGCGGTTCCCGGTAATAGGCAATGATAGGCCATTGCCAAGGAGCTACATGGACGGTTCAGTCTGCAAATTGCTAAACTTTGTGAAAAGGATAGGACTGGAGAATGTAATCTAAGGATCAGAAGAGGACCACAATAGATCTGAGAAGGTCGCAGTGGATCAGGCCGAAAGCCACCTCTAAGAATCTAATCTAATCTAATCTAAAACCAGGCAAATGCCAACTTACCTTAAGTTGTCATCCTATAATTTTGTTAATGTCAAATTGTTATTTCCAAACGTTAGGTTTTTGCCTCATTCGAACCACTTTTAAATTACTAAAATACATTTGGGGTACACCAAGCATAGGTACTATAACGTAGTAGTGTAGACAGCATATAATTTTTAGAATTTAGAATGAGTGGGAGGGGGTTAATCACTGCGACCTTACAGATATATTGTGTCCCCCTTTCTTGAGTTATAACTCATCATACAGTCCCAGGGCTTTGACAAAAGCCAGTATCTGGGACGGTTTTACAGAGGGTAGTTCTCCATCTCCAATATCAGTCGTACCAAAGTTCATAGCACGAGTGGTTGTCGTCTCGGCGCACTCAGTGATGGGAGGTGTTCTGATGTTTCCCCATTTTCCCCACAGAATCTGCAGTCGCCGTTTCTTCTTAGTTTCAATCTACTGAGGTGTTCATTTAAAAACCTTGTGACAATTCGAAGATTGTTCTTACTTAAATCCAGGATGATATTTGATTTTTCTTAGTCGTAAGCCCTCAGAAACTTCTTCGAGTGTCTCAGACCGTTGCAAGATTCCCATTCCAGGTTGCGGATGGAGTCTTCCAAGTTCTTCAGTTCCGCCTTTAGTTGGTTACCACTTGGGAAGCAGAACGGTTCTGGTCCAGTTAGTGGAGTGTTCGCTCCTTTTCTAGCTAGATCATTTGCTTTTTCATTGCCTTCTATCCCTTGGTCAGCAGGCACCCAGAGTAAGAGGGCTTTGTTTTCTTTGCCCAATTTATTGATCTTCTCTATGCATTCTTTGACCAATTTTGAATTGTTTGATACTGAGTTAATCGTTTTTACGCTGCTTGACTATCAGATAAGATAGCTATTTCTTGTTCCCGATAGTTCCTATCTAAGATAAGTTGTACGTATCTTTCGATAGCGTAGATTTCTGCCTGTAGGATGCTAGGGTAAGTACCCATTGATTCGAAGTATTTAGTTCTCGGTCCAAATACTCCAATCCCTTTTCCCGCAATGGTTTTGGAAGCATCGTAGACAGCATAACAAATTACATTTGACAATGATGGTTCAGCATAGGGGGGCCTTTAAAACACCTATTTACGACTCAGCTGTAAAATTAATAGTGGAGCCAATATTTGGACAGTTCAAAAATTGCTGTTGATGAGATCAACACCGATGTTGAGTACAACACCGGTTTTAAACCGGTGTACCGGTTTTTGGAACAGGCCTACCGCCACTGTAAGAGCTTACCTTTCCACTTCTGGCTGAATTATCATAATCAGGATTACCTCCTGGGAGACGCTCTCCATTGAAAAATTCGACATAATTCAATTCGGAATTAGCTGTTGTTGAATCGTTTCCTGAAAAATTATGAAGTTCATTAATAATAATAATACAACTCATTGATGGATATTAATTTTTATAGTTTCAACAGTTGTTGCTGTATTCTACAATATCATTCTATCAATGAATAATTGTAAAAAGATATATTAGAGCTTTATTACTAGAGTTGTAGATTCATCGATTTTTTTTTTCATTTTAAAGGCTACTGTGACACCGTTTTTTTCGGTCATACTTACTAAAACGTACTTTTTGAAATCTTTATGCAGTGTATTAGTTTAAAACTAAAACCCCTAATTAAGAATTTAGAGACTAAACTCGAAAATGATTGATAGGTTGATCAAACACGTTAAAATCTTATTTTATACTTTCTAATTTTTTTCTCAAACTTTAAACTCACCCCTATCGTCGTATCCTTCATACTCCAAGACGGCAACCTGATGTGCCTTGGTAAATCTTTCGTCACAATCCATCAATCCTCTGAACCTGATCCAATAAAGTTTTTTCTCTTGGTCAGCGTTTATTCCAAAGTCGAATCGTTCGCCTGCGTAAGTTACCAACGATTCGGCTAAAAAAAATACAGATTCCTTGTTAGAAAAAAAAGGTTTTTTTAATATTTTTGTATGATGTTCTCTTTATGTCATCTCTGAGACATGGCAATCTTGTTAAATGGAAATCGTTTAGTCGTATTTGAAGACGTTCGTTTTTTATGTTCTTATTTTCTTGATTAATAAAAGAGATTTTTTTCTAAAATATCAAGTAAATACTGAGTCTTGAAAAACGACTGGGCATTTCGTAACTGATATAGAAATCTGAAAAAAGAGAAATATATTTTTTTGTAAAAACCGTAAGAGATACAGGATCGGTAAAATGGAGGCAAAGTTGCGCAATTTGATGCTCAATAAAATGCCGTATTGCATTTTGAAAAATTCCGAATACTTCCGAATATATTCGAAAAAAACGGAATTTTCAGTTTTGTTTTCTATTGTTTCCTGGCTTTATTTGTTAGGATAACTTAAAATGAAAAATACATTTTCATGGCCACTTTTTCTGCTCTATAACTCTGTGTGATTAAATATTGACTCTGACGTTTCGGCTTCTGGCGACCATCATCAACTTAATTTTTTTAAATACGGACCTGATTTTTTTTTCAATTTAATTAAATCCTTTCATCACTCTTAAAACACTAGATATAGTCGCTTTGATATTTGCCGACGTTTCGTACAGAAAATTCCATCACCAAAATATTTTATACAAAAAAATAAAAAAAAATGCAATACGGCATTTTATTGAGCATCAAATTGCGCAACTTTGCCTCCATTTAACCGATCCTGTATCTCTTACGGTTTCCGAAATCCCAATGACGAGCGTCGAAATCGAGCCACCCTGTACAGTATGTCCCCGGATTCTCTTTACTTAATTTTTCTTTAGACACTAATGCAGAAATAGGCAGAAAAAAAATAAATTTACAGAAAAAGTATAAATTTACAGAAAAAATGTAAATCTACAAAAATGTATAAATTTACAGAAAAAGTATAAATTTACAGAAAAAATGTAAATTTACAAAAATGTATAAATTTACAGAAAAAGTGTAAATTTACAAAAATGTATAAATTTACAGAAAAAAATTTAAATTTACAAAAATTTATAAATTTACCTAAAAAGTGTAAATTTACAAAAATGTATAAATTTACAGAAAAAGTGTAAACTTACAGAAAAGTGTAAATTTACAGAAAACGTATAAATTTTGCTAAAAATATTTTCCAGTGTTGGGATGGCAGCTCTACACTTTCGTACAATCCACAACAAAATTGACAAAAAACTCTCACTTTGCTGTTACAGGCGAAACGAAGTTAGCTAGGTCAGCTAGTTAGAGAATAAATTTGCAAAAATTAAATTATTCTTTTGACTTTTTTCTAACCGACTAGTATCGTTTGCTGCCACGTCTCCATCGCACAGTGCTTCGTCCCATGGACAAAAATCAAAAAATAAGTTAAAATTTACTAATATCTGAATATATAATTTTATACTTATAGCATTGTTCAACCATCCTGTATATTATTTTTCATAAACAGCGTTTTTGTTAGCAAATATTTTCACTAAAAATAAATTTTGCGATCATTATCTCATCAGTGAAAAGAATAATATTCATAGTAGTTCTGTATATTATGGAGTTAAACGGGTACGTACTTAATTGAAAGCCACTATGGATATTGTTAAACAAGGTATGTACTTTAAATTTATTTCTAAACAAGTTTGTGATTGTTTAGTTTTTATTTATTTTTTAAGATGATTCTTAAATGGGTATAAAAATTTTACGTTTTCAAACTTCAAAAAGGCATTTAAAAAAAACATATCAAAACATATCGTATTTATTGAATATTTTTGTTGCCATATTCATACACTTTAAATTGTTGTATAGTTCACCTGCGTCTGCTTGCGACGAACTTTATTTTATAATACTTTTCAGATGGAGTAAAATTGATAAGCAATGCCGATCTGGCTAATACTTGGCTTGATCATAAGGACAAGAACTCAAAATTATTTGTATTTCAAAAAATATGTTCTTATTAGATATTGATGAACCTTCCAGTCAAATGAGACACCACTTGTGCCTGAAAAAGTCCACTATGTTGGAGCGAAACGTCGCATAAAAAAAGTGTCCATCTTTCAATTTATTATAAAATCTCATACCCAAGAAAAGGAAAAAATAATATATGGATATGGTCTATTAAAGAGGTAACTATTAACATCCGAACCCCTCATACCGACAAAATGAACAGTAACAACGCGAAAAAGTAACATATTAGAAAATGATGTACAGAAATATCTTATATGTGAGGATACTTCATCTACCTGTGATTTGGATACTATAAATTTGGAAGATTCTGTCAGCAGTGATTCTCCTGAATCAGAGTAGTTACGATCTATCATTTTGTTGTCCTAAAGTAAATTTATAGTATCTTAAGTTTTTTTTTTAATTAAATATAACATTAATGTTTCTTTTTCATTAAAGAAAAACATTTTTATCTTATATTAGGCTTATATTGTAGAAATCATGTTCTAATGTTATTTCAATTCTTTTTTATCACAGGAATTTATTTAATACTTACACCGTTTTCATACTATAACTTATTATTTGCTTAGATGGAACACAGCTCCAACATTATTATTATTTATAAGATTTTTTTTTCATAAACGTGGGACTTAGAACATCATCATTTAGTACAGTGAGAGTACTCATCATTTGTGTCAAATATACCAAGTTTGAATAAATTGCTTACAATAAAAGAGAAGTTTTGGATTTTTGTCCTCTAGAGCCATATGTTCGAAGCACTGTGCATCGGTTCAGACACATATTCAGAGAGTTAATAAAAGTCTAACTGACATGCTGAAATAGCCGATCCGCAGTTCATCCGAATTGATATACGAAACGGGTAAATTTTCACCAAAACGCAATATTGCAAGTGCACATGTAAACTGCATACGTATGTAAATTGCTTTCGGTTGCTTTCAGTTGACCACCGATTCCCTTTGACCCTCGATATTTGCGATATTATTAGATAAATACCATTTTTTCCATATTTCATATTGTTTTTTGAACAAAAAAAAAATTTCGAAATACTGAAAACAAAAATAGACAGCTAAAACTGTTCAGCCGTCGTTCACCGTTACGTCATCATTATTTGTCTAATATGAGTTTTAGGGTGTGTCTGAGATCAGTTCATATTGTTTAGAAAATTTTAAGTATACGTTCCTATATTATTGATTGAGCGAGTTTTTCTCGGCATTTATTCATTTTTTCTTGAACTACGATCCTTTTAATTCCAATCCTTTGGACTGATGAAATTCCTATTTCTAAAGCATCAGCAACTCGCTATATTATTTAAAAATGCTATGAACTTTTATTTTACATAAGAATATTATACCTTTGCATTGTACTTACTCATATAGGCGTCCAGGGGTAAGAGTGTTCTACCAGCGCAGCGTCTCTTTCTCGAGAAAAATAATTTATAAGCTTAGCAATGAGCTCTTGTTCATTTTGGTTAAATCTTTGAGGCATTTTTGGCATAAAAAAATTTGAAATTTGTTTTACAGCTACAATCATATTTTAATTTTGACATTGATCGATGTCCGTCAATAAAATTATAACCCCAAATAAAATGACAATGACAATTACTAAAAAGAATATGCAGTAATTTACGATATACCGTAATGACGTCACCAATCTCTTTCAATTGACACTTTACTTTTTACATCTCTTTTTACCTTGAAGTAGTTTAATAATATATCTTTTTATCTATAACGTACTAGGTACATTTTTTTTCAATTTAATGAATGTTTTTATTCACAATTAGTTCCAGTATGTTATGAAGATCCGTTTTCATAAAATAGACCCGAGGGCTTAAAAGCGTTAAAAACGGATGTGAAAAAATAACAGAAAATGCCAACTTTTTTTTGAAAAATTCGTAGGCAAATATAACGTGCGTTGAAATGAGAATGTTTTTGATGCAATGGGAATAGCTAGCGTAAACCAACTAAAAACAAAAAAAATCTATGTAAAATAAAGCTTTTTTCTAACAATGAGTGGCTCTGTATATTAACTTATACTATACGATCGAAAAAAAAACGGCGTCAAAGACGGCTAGGGACAGACAATCGATGATAATTTTGGCGAGGTCAAGCCCTAGTCCTCTTTATTTTTTAATCGCGCTTGTTGCCAGCTGACCATAAGAAGGTTGTAATTAATTATTATATTGAGGAAAAATGATTTTTAAATGGTGTAGTTTTAAAATACAAGAAAAAATAGTTTTTTTGGAAATCGATTTATATGCGTTTGGAAACGTTCATCATCATTTTTTAATCTGTCTACCTATAATTAGTGTTAATTTTTGACAAGTTTTATAGCAATTTTTAGTAAATGACGTCTATAGACTTACCTCGCCAAATTTATCATCGATTGTCATTGCCCAGCCGTCTTTGATGCGGTTTTTTTTGCGATCATGCGGTATTTTTTATGGTTTGCTCGCTCCAGAAGACAGAGATTTTTAATTAAATTATTAAATACGTAAATTGTTATTTATAGAAAAAAAATGTTTTGATGGATTCCCAATAGTCCATACTGTGTACTTATATTCTCTATTAGTGGCTGATGTTTGTTTACATATATTTACATATTTTAATTTAAATATATTTATGATTCTTAATTAAAAAAAAAACATAAACTTGACTTTAACAATTCCTGTCATTTAATACGCTCTAATTATTATAAACACCAATTATTTATTCCGTTTAGCATAGATTCCTTAATAATAACAGACGAGAGCTACTCAACTGCTAATAGTAATGTTTATATAATTACCGATTGACATTGGATATTTGCGTTATTACCGGTAATTTTTTATCGCGGTTATTGTTTAAAAATAGCGATTTGGCATCAAATCCTTGAAAGATGAATGGTATAGTTTTTTTCCTGAAGATAGTGACCGTCATGGTCAAATTAAATGATGTGAAAAGTGACGGATTAATTTTAAAATTGAATTGTTTGTTTTTATGTGACTCTAAATCATTTATAAAGCTAGCTGTAATGGCATTTGTAATCCATTTTTTATTATTATTAATAATTTAAATGTCATGTATGAATGTTTTTGTTGAATTATTAGATTTATACTGTAACGTAAAATTATATTTGAACTGTCCTGTATGTCTATGAAGTTATTTCTATAATGTGCGCTCCAATCGCTCACATATTTTGGAAAAATAAGAGTGAAAATCTCAAACAGAAACACTGATATGATTTTTTTCGAAATTCTGTCGGTATACTGGGTGCGTCTCGAAAGTGGCTCACCCCCCATAACTTTTTTATTTTTTCAGATAAAAAAACGAAATTTGATATGTTAGTATATGACATAAATTAAGATTGATTGACGTATTCAATTGTTTTTGGTCAGTTCCTGTTTTACCGGAAATTACTACAACTTTTGATTTTTAAATGGCACCCTCGGTATATTTTTACTTTATTCGATAGAAAATGACACTCTGAGTATCATATGTCAACTTTTGACATTTTCACTTAAACAAAATCGTATTTTAAATTTCAATCTAGATATGTATATTTTTTAATCAAGGAGCTTTGGAAAAATAAATTTGATGGTCTAATGTTTTTCGTGTCTTGTCCTGGCCGGTTGAAAGATGCCCAAATCGTATTTTTAATCATATCTGATTTTTTTCAAATGGAACAAGGGTGGCTTATTAGCATATTTAGAATAGGCATTTTTTACGAATAATTTGATACCACACACTTGGTATTTCGAGTCCATTTGTCGTTATGAACTGCATGTTACAATTTCAAATAAACCATATGCGCAATTGTCAAAAGTTGACATATAATATGTCATTCTATTCAGTGTCATTTTCTATCGAGTAAAGTAGAAATATACTAAGGGTGCCATTTAAAAATCAAAAGTTGTAGTCATTTCCGTTGAAACAGAATGCAGGAAGTGACCAAAAACAATTGAATACGTCAATTAATCCTAATTTCTATAATATAATAACATACCAAATCTCGTTTTTTTATCTGAAAAAATAAAAAAGTTATAGGGGGTGAGCCACTTTTGAGACGCACCCGGTATATAACATATTTGTCGGTCTTTATATATACAGGGTGTCCCAGAAATAAGTGCAAGTATTTTAAAGGGTGGTAGATCTCGATAAAAGAAACATATTTTCTCTTTATCGTTTTTCAAATAACGCCCAAAATAACGGAGTTATTTTACTTTGAAAATTTCCAAAAAAAAATATTTTTTGCTAAAATTTTGAGAATCACTGGATCTTTTCTGGATTTTCTTTCTTGTAAATTTAATCTAAGACCTATGTTGCCATATTATGAAGAAATTATGTTTATTAACTAAAAACTAAAAAAAAATCCAAAAAATTTGGAGAAATTTTTAAAAAAATTTCGAATTTCCAATTTTTTTTGGCGAAAAAAACACCATAGGCGTGTTTCTGGGGTTGAACTATACTACCAGTTAAAATACTTGCCCTTATTTCTGTGACACCCTGTATAACATAATATATTTTGCGGCAATATACAGAACTTACCTTCAACAGGCGCCACATTGAAACCATCTGTGCTGATAACATTAAGAGTGTGATTATCCACAGATACTTCTATGGGACAATTTAGATATCCAGCATTGATGATTCTAAATCTATAGCGAAATCCCTAAAAATTAATAATGAACATAAACACACACAACTGTGTATTTTTTCTAACCTGTTTTACAGTGAATCTAGCTAAAGGCGTATAATAAGTTTCATTCTCTGCCGCCTCCCCAAACAATTTGTGTCTTCCAAAACCGTTCACCAGCAACGTTGAAGGCTTGTTATCGCCGATACTGTGATGATGGTACAGGAATTTCTCGGTGGCCGTCACTTGTTCCCAATCTATGAGCGTCATCACGTGTTCCTCCAAATCGTAGTCGTAGAACTGTTTTACTGGATTGGTTTCAGCCGGTATCCTGACAATTATTGGTCCAAAACAACCATCCACCCTTTGCATGCCTAGAAAATATCATATCTTATATTACCAAAGAAATGGCTAAACTAGGATCATCAATTAAAAACAAAAAAAACTGAAAGTCTCGGTCTTTCCATTTTTTTCCTTTTTTTTCTATTTTTTTTCCTTTTTTTCTTTCTTTTTTTTTCTTTTTTTTTCTGTCTTTCATTTTTCTTTTTAATTCAAAAATCACGTCTCTCTACCGAATGAGAATGCATTCGGCAGAAAAAGGATGAGAAATACTTATAAAACTTACCAATGTGTGAATGCCAAAGGTGTGTACCCGCCTGTTGAGCCTTAAAACTATATCTAAAAGTAGTTTTCGGTAATATAGGGCACTGGGTTACAAAAGGTACCCCATCCATATAAGGAGAGCCTAGTTGATGCTGACCATGCCAATGAATAGTCGTACTTTCTGACATAAGATGATTCTCTACGTCCACTACAATCAAATCGTTCTGGCAAACCTGTAATAATTTATGCATATGAGTCTAAAGAAAAATATTCTTTTTAGATTGTAGAAAAACTAAATCTTATAAAATTGAATCATATTTTAATTTCAGTTTTGAAAATATTATAAAAATATACACATATCTCTATACAATGCAAATTTTTAATCAAACATCATATAACAGAAAAAAAAGGTGTCAGTAGCTTATAAAATGACTATCAATGGTAATTACTTTCGGATCGGCGCGCGGCGCAGTGCAAAAAAATCTATTTTTTAAGTAAATTCAAGTATAAATATTTGTTGTCAATTTTTAATAAATAACATATAGAGATTAACCGAATAAAAATACAATAAGAAAGAGTTTCCTAATTACTACACAAAATTATTTCCCGCTAATTTTTATTTACTTAGATTTGGAGAAATTAAAATAAATATATTTTTTATGAGTTTGAAAATGTGTACCATATAATAAAAACAATAATCTATAATACCTTAGATTATAATACTACTTTTTATTAGACAGTCTAATAATAGTATTTTGTCTGATTTTTACCGATCATTTTATAACTTACTTGAACATTTAATTAAAAAAATGTAATAAAAGTTTTATAAAACTATTTTATCCCATATTATGATTGGTAATAATATATTATAATATAATTTTCCAATTTTTTTTATAACGCCTAATCCACTAATTAACCTTTAACTCTGATTTAAAAAAAGTCATACGAGATATTTAAAGGATTAATTAATAAAAATTATTTATGACTAACTTTTGATAGATATACTCAATAAAATATATTGGAATAATATCTAGAATTTATTAGTTTAGTATGGATGTCAATTTATGATACAAAAAAAAACGCTTACCTATATTTGATTAGACAAATAAACTTTTTGAAAGATACCGTATAAGTGGTTTTGACACTTTTTTTTATATGCGGATATTTATTATGATGTAATAATAGTTTTCGACTTCATTTATATATATATTACCATGCAAGTGTTAAATATTAATTTAATACATATTTAATAAAATAATATGTCTCGTCGAATTCTGTCCACAAGGACTTTCGGAATAATATATTTAGTCCAGTAAATGAAGGTTGAAACCACGGCCTAATTCAGGCGGATTGTGTACCTTTTGGTAAGTAGTTTTGAGGGAAAAAATTGTAACACCGTGCTCGGCCAGCTTTGTTCAAAAAAATGGCTCCAATTGGCTCAAAAATCAGTTTTTCGGAAATATGTATCTGGAAAAATATGCAAAATTTACAAAAATGTTCTTGGATTGAAAAAATGAAGCTTAGGAAAGAATTACCTACAAAAATGGTTCTTATTTCTTATCATCTTTTACGTAGGTTTAATAGTTTTCGAGATATTCCAGCTCGAAGATCCCTGAATTTTTTCTTTTTTCAGTTTTAACGCTCCGAAGATAGATTTTATAAGCGTATCATTGATTGATAGCATGTTCATTTAAAAGGTAGAATCAACAGATATTAAATTTGGGACTTGTATGAATTTTGTCATATTTTATGATAATAAAAAAAAACAGGTAAACATTCCTTAGCCTAAAAATTTTCAGATTTTTGCAAACTTATTTATCAGTTCAATTAAAAAAAACATTTTAAATTTCAATTTAGAGCGGTTTGTTAAAACCATTAATTTTTAACCAAGGAGCTGATTACGAAAAAATATTTTTGATCGTTTAATGTTTTTCGTGTTCCTCAATTTTTTCAAATGGAACTAGGTTGGCTCATTAGCATATTTCGAAAAACATTTTGTTTAGAAATAATTTGGTACCACAGACTTAGTATTTCAAACCAAATTTTTGCAATGTTACAATTCCGAATAAACCATATGTGAAAATGTCAAAAATTGACATATGATATGTCATTCCATCCAGAATGTCATGTTCTATTAAGTGAAGCAAAAAATAGCGAGAGTACCATTTAAAAATCAAAAGTGGTGGTCATTTCTGGTGAAACAGGAAGTGACCGAAAGTAACTGAACAGATCAATCATTCCTGATTTATCATAGTCAGTCATATACCAACATACCAAATTTTCTTTTATTATCTGAAAAATAAAAAAGTTTTAGGGGTGTGCCACTTTTGAGAAACACCCAGTATCTGTCCGCTGATTGTTAGTTCTATAATTTGTAGTAAAATTTAATATAATAAAAACTAAAATTTTCTATGATAAAAAAACGACGTGACAATAGCCACTGAAATTATCAAGTAATGATCATTTTCACATGGATTTACAATTATTGATTCAGGATAAAAATTATTATGGTGGATCATAGTACAATATGAATCATATTATAATATTAAAATGATATGTTTTATTAAAATAATGAATAATCACGTAAGTACATAATAAGACAGATTTGTAGAAAAAATAAATCTAATCCAAAATCACATCAGACGATTTATTAGACAATATAATTAAATGATAATCAATCAATAAAATTTTTAATATCTATATTAGTAAAAATAGCAAAATACTACAATAGAATTAGTGTTAGGAAATAAAAAATATATGGTAGGTCTTAAAGGTATTATAGTATAAATTGTGAAAATTTGATCTGATTTTCAGCAAGTCATTGCAGATAGAGAAAATCCCAATAAATAATTTTAATAGCATATATACATATGCTCATACCAAAAAGTAGAGAATATACCGTATGATAAAAAAAACGCTGTTAAACACGGCTGAGAAATGACAGTCGATGATAATTTTGGCGAGGTCAATCTCTAGGGATCATTTACTAAAAATTGACATAAACCTAAATATAGAAAGATAAACAAAGGATAGAACGTCATACTCTTGATATGTACCATATGATCGAAAAAAAAACGGCGTCCAGCTGGCTTAGAAATGAACATCGATGACATTCCCCATATAATTTTACATATAAAATGACAACTATCTTCATTTCATAGCCATCACTGACGCCGTTTTTTTTGGAACATATTGTAAATAACTACATAATAATAAATTATAGTATTTTGATCTAATATTATTACCTACGCAATTAAACGCGGTTTCCAGCGTTTCAAGTGCTTCTGTTGATATTTTAATTACAACAATTTTTTTACAAAATCACGTAGGTATTGTAGCTATATAAATTGTTGCAATCTTTATATTTCGTACACACGTGTAATTATCGATACCGCATCCAAAACCAGCTATTTTTTAATAATTATTACTAACGTTTACTATTTAGCAATAAAAAGTAAAAAGGCACTGTTAAACAGCTGGCCCGTAACTAAATTTAATATAGCTCGTATTGTGGAATAATCGATGCAAATATAATTGCATTTTTGTATGAATTTAAAGTTAGTCAAATTCTTCGAACCATTGTACATTTTACTTAAAAAAATTGTGCACTATGTGCGCATATTTGAAGTGAAACTTCTTACTAACAGCTGCTAAATTGAAGGATTTGAAGGACATGTTTGAAAAAATGTAGTTTGAAATGTTGAAAAAGTAATAAAATAAAAAAATTATTTCATTCATTTTCACAAAATTTGTATTAAAATGGCCGTCTGTCCGTCTGAGGACTCCATTCGGGTACCTCTATCCACGTGCCGAAATTGGTTCCAATCGACCCATAATTAAGAAAAATCCTGATGATTTTGTTCATTTAGAAGCATCAGTTCGAAACATAGACTTAAAATAAAATATAGACTACACTGTTTACATCTCAACGCGGACAAACAACCTTTTTTGTACACATGTTTACTTCTGGGTACAGTCGACCGAGCCTTCCTCATCCAGCCTATGTTGTCACGTCTTTAATATTATCAATATTTTTTTTCTTGTTATACACGTATATTGAGATATTAATACTACAGTTTAATAAAGTATGTTTTAATATTCCATAGATGTATTAAATAGTCCCTATACTACTAAATTATAAGTCGGATACTGTTTAATAAGGATAAGTTCTTTACAATATGACAACACCGATTAGAGGCGAGGGAGCCTATTCATTCATTTATTACCTTGTAGTACGTGTCGCACGTGTGCGGTAAAGCTTTGTTGCCGCTATCTCCCCGGCTGTATTAACGCATTTTCTTAGCTTGTAGTCCTTAAGTGTTTATTTTATTTTCTGTTCAAAAACTATAAAATATGGTTCGCCAGTGCCAAATTTGCAAGAAATTTGACTTAAATAATCCATTTAAGTCTTGAAACGACTTTTGACCGGTAGGCAACTCTCAATTTACCCATTGGCAGTCAGTGGCGTTGTTGTAGAAAGGCGCTTATTTAGATAATATTTTAGTAAAATGTAAAATCTGAATTTTTTCTTTTACATTACATTATTTACTTACTTACATTGTAACAAAATCATAATTATAACCCTGTTAATAATTAATAATGTTTTTATTAAAAATATATTCCGGTTTATTCTAAAATTATCCTCAGAATCTAAAATAACATACAATAATTTTAAAATGATATTACATTATGAAACAATATTTTTTAATATACCGGGTGCGTCTCAAAAGTGGCTCATCCCCATAATTTTTTTATATTTTGAAATAAAAAAACAAGATTTAGTATGTTAGTATATGAAATAAATTAGGATTGATTGACGCATTCAATTGTTTTTGGTCACTTCCTGTTTCACCGGAAATGACTATAACTTTTAATTTTTAAACGGCACCCTCGGTATATTTCTACTTTATTCGATAGAAAATGACACTCTGAATAGAATGACATATCATATGTCAACTTTTGACATTGTCGCTTAAAAACATATCCTATTTTAAATTTCAATCCAGTTTTTTCAATCCACTAAGTTTTAATCAAGGAGCCTTGGAAAAATAGTTTTGATCGTCTAATAGGTTTCGTGTCTTGTCTAGGCCGGTTAAAAGATGTACAAATCGTATTTTTAATCATACATATGTCAATTTTTTCAAATGGAACAAGGGTGACTCATTAGCATATTTGGAAAAAGCATTTTTTATGAATATATTGATACCACACACTTGGTATTTCGAGTCAAATTGTCGCTATGAACCGCGTGTTACAATTACAATTAAACCATATGCGAAAATGTCAAAAGTTGACATATGATATGTCATTCTATTCAGAGTGTCATTTTCTATCGAATAAAGTAGAAATATACCGAGGGTGCCGTTTAAAATTAAAAGTTATAGTCATTTCCGGTGAAACAGGAAGTGACCAAAAACAATTGAATGCGTCAATCAATCCTAATTTATTTCATATACTAACATACTAAATCTTGTTTTTTTATTTCAAAATATAAAAAAATTATGGGGATGAGCCACTTTTGAGACGCACCCGGTATAATAAAGACAGTACCGAGTTAAATAAATGTAGTTTTTATTTTATCCACTTCCTATCACCTTCCTTGCTTTAATGGAACAGATTTATGTTTTCCCTAATTTACATAATAAGACATCACTTAACCAGAAAAAAAATTACAACAATCTATTTTTTTTTTCTCTCCCTGTCGCCGATTCTATTATATCTGTGGAATAGATCCTGTTTTGATTAATATTAGGGGTTGTAAATGTTTGACTAAAATTAATAATTTATTATTAATTTCAAAAATTACCTAATTTCGATTATAAAATTTCTTCTATAACGTGTATTTTATTATTTTTATCCTTTTTGGACTCTAAATTGTTTTTTCTAAACTTTTATTTAAAACCCTGTCCTAAATCTTAATAAAATATAAAAAGTTTAAATACGATATATTTTAATTTAATTATAGCTTCATTAAAATAAAGAAATTACCCGGCTATGATACGGAGAGTTCAGGTGTACTTGAGAAACGAAAGACAGTGTTGTGTTTCTCGGCAGAGTCGTCAGGGAACGACCGTTACGACAGAGACAACCTATCTATCGCTTGTGTCGCACTCGTTATAACCTAAAACAATAACACAACAATAACAAGACAGTGTCTGACCGCATGTTCCAGCTATTTATGAATGAGATGCTCAGTCTATATTTTATTTTAAGTCTATGGTTCGAAACGTCGAGGGCGTCATCCTGTAGCCCAGTGGCGGATACAGGGGGAGGGCTCATGGGGCCGGGCCCCTCCTAAAGTCTATGAATTGTGTAAAATATTAGGCTTTTGGGTTAAAAATGGCGCCCTAAAAAGCATATTCTACATTGCTTTTTATTTTGGGCTCCCCCTAAAATAAATTCCTGTATCCGCCCCTGCTGTAGCCCGTCCTCAATTATACCCAAATCGACCCACATTTTTCTTCAATATATATCAAATCCTTATTCCCACCCTGATAAAGATGAAACGAAACGTCGTATCCAACTTTGCCGGGAGGGGACCTGTGCACCGTCGCTCACATAGCCTACCTACCAAATTTGGTCGCGATCGGACGAAGTCAACTTTTGACGTTTCTTACTTCAAAACTAACTGTTACAGTGACACGTGCCGTACACGGTCAAGTTGGCCTTGGTCATATCTATCGACATACCAAATGTCATTTAAATCGGACTATTTTTTCTAAGCCTTAGGCTGTCATTACCATTTTTTAAAACTTACAACATTACTTTCAAAAATATCTATTAAAAGCTTAATATTTTGATATAAAATTACCTCAATTGCTGGTCCTGGCATTTGTCGATTGATCACCACAATCGCTCTGGAATGGCCATCTCCAGGAATACAATCATTTCGGTAGCAATCGGTGAGGTTCTGTGGACAATCGTGACAGGCTTTCGTCATGGTATAGTAGTTCTCCACGGTAAAATGATAGTGGCAAACCATAGGCGCCTCACCCTGTACACAAGTACGTGTACATGGGTGTTTGTCTTCGAGAAGAACGTATTCGTAGTGTAGTGACGAATTGTTAACATTTTCTATAAAAAATATTACTTGTCATTAATGTTATCCAAAATATTTATGACAACAGTATATTGCTTTATTAGGGGTAAAAATGATACTTTTTACTTGTAGCGAGGCTACCGAATAGAACATGCTTTTTTTCAAACGTCACAAATAACATTTTCTATTCTTCAATCGAGAAACTATGGTTAAACTTGTTGAATTTGACATTTTATGTCAGTGTAATAATATATTTTCGGACTTTTGTTCTTAGGCGTAAATGTACTTTACTTTTATCCCTAGGCATTAAAATGATTACTTTATATTGTCAATCACGTCGCAAAAATTAATACTTTTGTGATGTTTGAAAAAAAAGTTATTTATTGAACTAGGTTATTTTTCTTATTTTAATCTTTAAATCTAGTATATTTGACAAATATTGCGAAATAATAATAATAACCATGAGCGGATATTTCGCAATGATAAACTTTTAAAAATATATATAATTGCGGAAAAGTTTTATTTAGTCCTAGATTGCTTTATTGTCAGTGATACCAATCTAAAAGACTTTTATTATTTTATTTTCATTATATTTTTGCGCCCCTGAAAGATAACGTACCATCCGATAAAAGCCAGCCCTGCAAAACTAACAACGTATGCTAAAATAGTACTGACTGATCCATATTATAAAAGATAGACTAACAATATTCATTGATTTCTAATTTTTACCCAACATATACAAGCAGAAATTAAACAAGCCTTTTGTTTAATTACAGTTTGATTTGGCCACAGATAATTATTATTTAATAATCAGATAAAGGTGGCAACTTGACATTTTTTACAGCAGAGCTACCACCTAAATCTCCAGCGGGAAATTTAAATTACAGTTAGTCAGCCCGGCGCCGAATATGGCCATAGTTGGCAACAATGAATTTAAAAATTGCGCCCTCGATTACGTAACTAAAAGTTTAATTGGTATCGTTTATTTGAGGTTCTATCCAATAAAGGAGTTGTAAACTAATTGAGGCAGTTACAAAACTATAATTTCTCCAAAAAAATCCTATATGGGTATTTCGCCACTGCAAGAATAACTACAAAATAAAATAGTTATTTTTTGTAAACACTTCTGCGTCAATCCAAACGGAAACTACTTATCAGAAGTTAAGTTTACAGATATACAAATTTGCCTAACGAACAGAAAAATTCTTAATTTTTCGGAAAGTTTATCTCTTTCCGTCGTTGGAGGCAAAAAAAATACAAAGAATAAAGAAAATATCTATTTAAAATATTTAAATTCAACTATTCGAGAACACTTTAGTTTTTTAAAACAGATACGTCTACAAAAACCGTTGACGTTCTGTTAAGATGACATTATATCAAGTTAAACTTCAAAATTAACAATTACTACCTGATAACAATTACTTAATAAGGTAAAACCAAAAAGCTCCAAACTTACTATATGTTTATTTTTAATTTTTACGTATGTTATGTTTAACTAACATCTACAGATGCATGAGCAATACATTTATTTTTATTAGATTGTATTAACAAAGCCTTTTTTATTTTTCTTTTAGAGACTACCGTTTCTTTCATTATAACTTTGGCATTATTAAAATTTATTCTGTGCCCTGTGTCCCATGAATGCTGACAAATCTTAGATTTGTGAAAATCTCCCTTTCTTAAATAATCTTTATGTTCTTTAAAACTATAATTCTTGTACGGGTGAGATGCTCATTTAAACCAGGACCGAACTAGTTATTTTTAAAATTATGTTAATTACATTTAATTATCTCTCTTTAAAGTACTTTTTCATTAATTTGTATAGAGTATTTTTATAAATATGTAAATTCAAATTGCCCTTGCCATTTTAAGGCGGGTATTTTAATTTTAAATGATATAACAACGGTCTAAAATATTATAATTATTAAACTTTATGAAAATGAAATCGCACACTCCAAAAGTAATAATGACTTACTTCTAACCTTAAAAGGGTCAAAAATATTTAGATGAACGCTGTTTTATTCAAGACTAAATAATACCATCGTACCTACTTTAAAATTAACTTTATTTAAATTTGAAGAGGAACATATCTAATTACCTTTTATTGCCGTGGCAAAATTATCATAAAAATATTTACAAAACTCTTCTAATTAAAGCTATTATATTAACATAAATAAACAATTAGAAGCATTACAAGGATTCAGTTAGAACTTATCAATTACATTGCCTAGCATTCAACTATATAGAGGCCATGGAAATGTATTTCAAAATAATGTAAATTTTAATTCACACTGTTAGGAAGACACTGAACTTTTACTACAGCATAGTAATTTTTATATTTATTTGCATTTATTCGTGTTGTGTGATTCCGTTGTTATTTTGAGTATAAATGAGATTATCACTGGAATTGCATTATAAAATAATTAAGATTTAGACTCACCTGTTGCGTTGTTGTTGTTTATTGATATAATTAATACCAAGATTAAAATCCATGAAGCGAATTGTAGGCTTGAAGCCATGGCATCTGTAAAAGAAAAATACTGTTGTAAAGTTGGTTTATTAGAAAAATGTAAAGTGTTACAGATATATGTTTCAGATATAGTGCGTGGCAATAAAAATGGTATAAATATACAGGATTTCTAACTGGTTCATTAAAAAAAATTAATAATTATTCCCGGGTATACTTTTTTAAATAATTTCTGCCTTCTGGCATTTCCAGCTTAACCGGAAGTGGGTGTCTGCCAATATGTTTATTTTAACTCTCCAAAAAAATCCTTCATAGGTATTTCGCCACTGCACTGCAAGAAAATCTACAAAATAAAATAGTTATTTTTTGTAAACACTTCTGCGTTAAACCTAAACGGACGTTGCTTGTCAGAAGTTATGTTTACAGTAATACAAATTTGCCTAATAAAGAATAAAATGCTTAACGTTTCGAAAAGTTATCTCTTTCGGTCGTCGGAAGCAAAAAAAAATACAAAGAATAAAGAAAAAAACCATAAAAAACTATTTAAAATATTTAAATTCAACTATTCGAGAACATTTTACTTTTTTAAAACAGATACGTCTACAAGAAACCGTTGACGTTCTGTTAAAATGACATTATATCAAGTTAAACTTCAAAATTAACAATTACTACCTGATAACAATTACTTAATAAGGTAAAACCAAAAAGCCCCAAATCTTTCTGTATGATTATTTTTAAATTTTACGTGTGTTATGTTTATTTATGTTATGTTCTTTAAAATGAAAAAAGCGATTGCCATACATTTTTAAGGATTTTTTTTTTGGAGAGATGAATCCGCCATATGGGTATAGACATTTTTTATGTTTAAGTAGCGCCCTCAATACCGGGTGTTTTTCAAAAGTGTAGCTCACCTGAGGGATGACCCGTATAACTTTTTTTATTTTTTAAACAGAAAAAAACGGATATGGTATGTTTAATATCTATACTAATATATAAAATCCTTAAGTGACTGACTCACTGATTAATCACGATCCTGCTCAAACCACTCAACATAAGAAGCAAGAATTTTTGCATACAGGTTGATTCTAGGGTGTAGAGGTTCGATAAGAAGGGATTTTTCGAAATTCCAGTTCCCAGAGGGTGAAACCACCCCTCAAATATTACAATATTTTTTATTTAAAAAACGGCCAAATTTCCGAAAAAACGCATATTTTAAGATTTTACATATTTCAAGATTTTTTAAAAATGTATACAGGGTGTTTCCAAAAATTTGGTCATTGGTTAATCAGGATCCTGCTTAAAGCGCGTGACGTAAAAAGCTGATTTTTGGAAAAGAGATTGACTTTAGGGTGTAGAGGTTGGTTAAGAAGGGATTTTTCGAAACTCGAATTCTAAGGGGGTGAAACTATCCCTCAAACATTAAAATATTTTTTATTTAAAAACCGGTGAGTTTTTCGGAAAAACTCTTAAACACGTGTATTTTATTTTGTTGTTTTACATATTTTAAGATTTTTTATAAATTTTTACAGGGTGTTTCATAAAATGTGACCATTGAGTAATCACGATTCTGCTTAAACTGCTTGACGTTTAAAGCTGATTTTTGGCAAACGGATTGACTGTGGGGTGTAGAGGTACGATAAGGAGGGGTTTCTCGAATCTCAAATTCCAAGAGGGTGAAAACCCTCATATATTACAATATTTGTTATTTAAAAAACGGTTAGTCTTTCCGGAAAACGCTTGGACAAGCATAATTTATTTGGTTTTTTCACATATTTTGAAAATTTTTAAAAAATCATACAGGGTGTTCCAAAAAGTTGCGTAATTTCTTAACCACGATTCTGCTTAAACTGCTTGACGTAAAAAGCTTATTTCTGGCAAATGGATTTTACGAAAGTCAAATTCCAACGAGATGAAACTACCCCTCAAATATTACCAAGTTATATAATAATATCGCCATATTGTTTTTTCTCATGCTGACATAAATGTGAGAAAATTTTATCCAGTTTGTATGTTAATGGAAATTCTTGCTTTGGTTTATCATCACCATTACAAATGGTTAATTCGACGCGAACGAAGTCGCTGGTACACGCTAGTATGATATAAATCGGTATTGATTGACGTATTCAATTACTTTTACGGACATCCTGTTTCACCGAAAATGTCTACAACTTTTTATTTTTAAATGGTAGGTACCCTCGATTATTTGATACAAAGCAACATTCTGCATAGAATGACATACATATATGTCAACTTTTGACATTTTCGATTAAAAAATTGTATTTCAAATTTCAGTCTAGAGTACATATAAGCGATACCAATTAAACTTTTAGTTACGTAATCGAGGGCGAGATTTTTAAATTCATTGTTGCCAACCATAGACATATTCGGCGCCGGGCTGACTAACTGGAATTTAAATTTACCGCTGGGATTCAAATGGTAGCTCTGCTGTAAAAAATGTCAAGCTGCCACATTTATTTATTTATTTCATGACATTGTCATTCGTTTTGACACTTTAGTTTTGTATTACGAGTTTTTGGTTTAAATGAAATGTGTTGTGATACTTTAAGCTTAAAAATTTTTACTAGCACACCTTGCAGTCGAATATGGTTCTTTTTAGTACCTCTTTTAGTGCGAAGTGTACAAGATAGCTTAATAGCCGTTACAAAAAATTCATCACAACCATATTAGAATATTTTAAAATTGAAAGCGATAGTAATGGCCCTTTATGTCCCTTAAGTACTGTTAAGGAGGTGAGTTTTGTTAATGTCAATAATAACTGATTTGAAATTATAATTAATTTATTTTTGTTTCATTAAATATTTTGATTAAAAAAATATATAAAAGTGGACAACGCTGTGCCGGTCACGAAATAAGTGCAAGTATTTAACTGGTTGAGTTTTTTTTTCGCGAAATTTTTTTTTGAAAATTCGAAATTTTTTGTAATTTTTTTTTAGTTTTTAGTTAAAAACATAATTTATTTATAATATGGCAACATAGGTATTTGATTAAATATACAAGAAAGAAAATCCAGAAAAGATCCAGTGGTTCTCAAAATTTTAGCAAAAAATCATTTTTTTTTGGAAATTTCCAAAGTAAAATAACTCTTAGCTAGTAGGTATTATTAAGTAGTTTAACTAAATACTAAAATGAGCAAGTTAGCTGCTAGTTCTAATTAAATATTATTCAAATAAAAATAACGAGATATCAAAAAAGAACTTTTTCTGTATCGTGGTAATACCAGATTAATCAATTAAATTCAGATTTTCTATCATCATTGATCATATAAATTAATGTGCCAACAAATTGTTTTAAATATCTCTGTACCCATTAGTCACGGATACAAAGTAACGAATTATATTAGGTTCAGTGATGGTCAAGGTTTTTCCCAACTTCTTTAGCTCGTACAATTTCTTCCCAGTCAGCATCATCCGGTTTTTTTAATTGATGGGATTTTGGCGTCTTCGATTCTTCACCGTGTGGGGATTTCTCTTTAGATGATCCCATTAAAATGTATTTTAATAGTCGAGATAATGATTTTAAATATAATTGTAATGGTTTAATTTGTTGACAAGCAAAATTAGAATAACTATTTTAATAATTTTTAAAAATATGCAAAAGTTCATTTCAAATTATAGTATTTCGGGTTACTCTGGGTTTTAATAATTGAAATCTAGCATTAAATATCTCTTTTACTTTTTGTTTTAAACAGCTTCATTTATTCAGTAATTTATACTATACAATCTAATCTATACTAAACAGAGAAATAAGTGCATGTATTTTAAGAGGTGGTAGATCTAGGCAAAACGAACATATTTTCTCTTTACCATTTTTAAAATAAATTAATAATAACGAAGTTATTTAACTTTAAAATTTAAAAAAAATAGTGGCAACATTTTGAGAGCCTCCGGCAGAAATCGATAATCAGCCGCAAATACCAAGCAATTACCAGAATCCCAGCTTGTTCGACGCACAGTGTTGACACATCGACTAGAATGATTTAAAAACGACTTAGAAAATTCAGATTCAGACAAAATTCAGAACATTAGAAAACGGGACTCCGAGAGATAGCAGTAATCGATGTAATTAGGTAAACGTGTATTTGGCACAAAATGCATTAAGATTCCATCTGAATTATTTAGGATTATTTTTTGAAAATTTGAACTACTCTGTTTTTCTATTTCACACTCTTGTTTTGTAAAAAAAACATCAAAATAATTGATATTTCTATTTGAATACTAAAAGTATTTTTACAGGCTTATCTTACATTTGCCTATTTTTTTTGGTTTTGTCAGAGATTTACTGTTTTGAGTAAAATCTGTTTAAATGTAGATCAAAGGTTGACTATTTACATATCTAATAGAGGGCGCTGATTCTGAACTGTTGAAAAGCTGCTATAATTGTTCATTATTTAGTTTCATTATTTCAGTTTACTAAACTGTAAAAAAGGTACGTATTTAAAATATAGTAGACATTGCATTATACTTAATAGTAATCTAAATTGATTAAAAAATCTAGTGAATAAAATTAATTTAAGTATTTTGTTTGTAAAAATTTTAAAATGTTGACTTGTAACTTATAAATAAACAGAATGTGGATAAAGTAGGAGGTGGCAACATTGCATTCTCTCGAAGCACTATAAACAAGTTTCCGGAAACTGAATAAGCGGCACTCAAAAGTTTTTCAATATTTTTCGGAAAATATCAAGAAAAATGTAAAAATTTCAACATTTTTTTGTCGCAAAAAACTCATGGCCGTGTTTCTGGCGTCGAACTATATTACCAGTTAAAATACTTCCACTTATTTCTAAGACACGCTGTATAGATTAGTGCAGAAAAGCTTTATTGAAGCGAATTATCAACGTATGTATATAGAACAAGTTGGCATGCCATATTAAGCCGTCCAAAATATGAAAATTTTGATACATGACAGGCGCAGTCCGAGGACTAAATCCGCAGACCAAATCCGCGGATCAAATCCGCTGGTGTAAGTGTGGCTATTGAAATTCATATTGTTTCATTGGTTTGTCCACTGAATTCCTTGATAAAAAAGGAAATGCA